ATCCTGACTAAACTGGAAGTATCGAAGTTCATAGATCTCCTTGTCAGATGCAACCACGGGAAGCCAATTGTGAAGACTGTTCTCAAGGTATTTCTTGGTAAGATATTTCAAGTATCTTTAAGAGAATTGTTTCTCAGAAACAACTGTGATTTTATTCTTGAAGCGTTCAATATGAACCACATTCCCAAGATTTCCAGTTTTTCCATTGACTTTAACCTTTTCCTGCAGAAACTGTTCAAAATTTGCAGAATCAAAAATTCTATCTTCTACTGGGTGAGTAAGGTCCAAACCAAACTTCCAGATTGTCTTCTTAGGTTTCTTGACTTTCGGCGCCATCTTGCACGTTGTCCAAGAGACCACAGAGTCCTTTTGTCTTTTAAGGCCTGTTTCAGATGTCACCCATTTGGCAAAGGCTTGGCTGATCCTGCAAGAGTCAAGATCTGCCTGCACTGTTTCCATCATACATTGTGCACTGCACAGGGCTTACCAGAGTTCGTCTTGACTATTTGTTCAATACACCCCCTCCACTTTTGACTTCTTTAATGACAGAGACAGAACGTTTTCACCTTTGTTTCTGGAACTCAGAATATTGGTTTTGCATAAAACTCATACTTGGTATAAAATAAGCTCAATATGTTTTTATGGGTATGAATGAACAAATAATATGTAAACAACTCATAGCTTTAGAGTCATTGCCAAGGAATTCCATCCTACTTTTCCCATCCCAGGTTAGACAATCCTGGGACGGCCCTTCTGTGATATTGCACACAGAGTAAGTCTTCTAAGATAATAGGATTATTGAGCGACTTTGCATTTATTCTGCTCTCTTCTTACTTTGGTTCTCCAAATTAGCCTTGAATATTAACCTTAAATTCACAGGAAATGAGTTTTTCAGTGGCTGTCAAATAATGAAATAATAAATCAGTAATTCCAATATGATGGCTGTGTAAAGATACGACATGTTTTTGTCTACCCAGTCAACTCTCTCCTTTCTGGGAAATGTGCCTTTTTTTCTTTTAGGAATTGCTTCCTCTGTCCCCCACATCGACTACCACCATGGAACTGGAGTGAGGACTGCCTGTCACAGTGGTGAGGTGGGGACAGGACCCACACCTATCCAGTCAGAATACTTCTCTGCAATTACAAAAAAAATGGAAGCTGGATGAGGCCTTTTCATCTTCCAAAAAGCATTATAATGACATCGGTTTATACGTTGTTCATGACCTGATTCCTCTGCCACACAACAGGGCTTCTCCGTTTGTTTACAGCTGTGTCCCTGGCACTGAGAGCTGTGCAAGGTATAGAAGGTTCTCAACAACCACTTGTTAAATGAATAAGCGTCTGCTGGGAATGGAAGAGCTAGGGATGGCCAGCAGCCATGGACCCTGCCAGGTCACAGAAACCAGGTCGGGAACATGTAGAAAGAAGCAAAGGAGCAGCCAGGGCGTCTTGACAGGTTCCAGGGGCCCAGTTCTGGTCTCTGAGGCTCTTGGAGCTTCTGCGGTTCCTGCCTTCCGTGAATCCCCTTTGCTGGCTCGTGTTAAACTTGAGGTCCTGTCACTTGCAACTAAGAGAATGAACCTCGGTCCTGCTGGATTCCTGACAGATAATCTTATCTTCAGTGTTTACTTTTTGGAGTCTCAGTTCCTGGTGTCCCTTTTGAAGTTACGTGACTGTCCCTACTATTGTTATTCCAACCCATGACAGACCCAAGGAAGGGGCCAGGTGTTTCCTTCACCCAAGTTTTTTTAGGGGTCTCCCCTTGCCTTATGAGAAAGGCCAAAGTCCCTGAGTCAATGAGCAATTTGGCCTGTACTTAGCCAGCTTTTTTTTGTTTTTAATCACCCTGAACTCCAACAAACTTTTTGTCTTAATTCCCTGAATGCGTCTTGCCTTCCGTCACTTCCATTCCCTTGCAGATATCGTTTCCTTTACCTGCTGCAGTGTGGCCCTGATCTTAATGGTTTCTTATCCTTCAGAATTCAGCCCAGGCCTCTTTCCATCCAGGAAGGCTCCCCCGCACTCCTCTCGCCTAACCCGGTAACGACGCCCATCCCTGGGCTCTCACCGCCTCCGCTCGCGGGCCACGTGCTTTTAACTTTTAATTTGTTCTATTTACATAAGAGAACTGTAGCCATACAGCAAAACACTGATACAGAGAAGTGTAAAAAAAAAAAAAGTGAGTCAGACCTTCCAATGGATCTTCTGCCAAAATGTTAATATTTTTTGTTAAAATTTCAGAAAATTTGTTTATGCACATATTATTGTATTGTACATGTGCAAATAATACCCTTTTTACTTATAAATAAAATAATATTAATCATGCTATTCTGCATGTCACCTGCTTCACTTATATGAGCAATATTTCCATCCCAATACATAGATATTTACTTTAATATTTGTATTAGACAAATGGTATTCCTTTGTAGCCATAAAAGATAACATTATTTAACAAATCTCATATTGATGAGTATTTGGGTTATTTTCAGATTTCTTTTTGTTATTCATCTTTTTAAAATTTTTTTATTTAATTATTTTTCAAATATCGTTTTCTATTTCTCCCATCCCGGACCACCCCGCCCCGTGCTCCCCACCTCCCTCCCATTTCCACCCCCTTATTCTCCCTGGGTCCTTTATACTTGTTCCTCTAAATTTTTCCCCTTTTTCCCTCTCCCTTCTGGTCGCTGTCCCCCTGTCTCATCTATTTTAGGCTACTTTTAGAAGTAAATCTATGGGGTAAATAGTTAGCAGTGATTCAAAGAATATTTAGAAATTTTGAGACATTGCCAAATTGCACTCCAAAAAGTCTGTAATAATTGAAATTCCTACCAATATACACACATTTTTCTTACTTTGATATTTGCTTTCTAATACTAAATATATCAAACTTTCTAATGTTTGCCTGTTTGATGAAACATCCTTTGGTTGCATTTTTTATTTTTTCTGTGAAATTGGCATCTTTTTATATTTTTCATGTCATTTGTATTTTATCTTTTTCTGAGAACTCCCTGTTTGTTTATTTGCTCTCTTTTTTAATTTGGAAAAATTATTATAAGCAAGAAAATTAGCCCTTTATGGGTCACCTTTGTTTTGAATATTTTTAGCAACATGTTGTCTTTGAACTTGGCTACGGGTTCTTTCCTTTGGCCGTGCGAATGCTCTGAGGTCTCAACTGTAGTATATGCTGCCCTAATGGGTGCTGGGTGTGCCGTGTGCTGCGTGTCTGTTTTCTTGGCAGGAAATTGAGACCTGGATTTAAAAGAGAAAACCGCCCTTCCTACCAAAGGGTTATCTTCAGAGCCATGGAGATGTGAAAATGTATAAGGAATTTTATTACAAAATTGCTCCTGTTCTGGGTCCTAAGGAGATCCTGTCTCAGCTCCTAACATCTGCCGGGGGGAAGAGGGCCAGGCAGTCTTAACTGAGGATTTCTTAACTTAACTGAGGTTGGGTTTCTTCACCTCCAGCCTTGGGAGAAGCTGTATCTCTCTAACCACCTCCTTGCCGAGGCTGCATCTCTCACCCAACCTACTTGCCGAGAAGTCTGAGAGGAACGGTCCCTAAGGACATGGAGCCGCAGTTCTGATTCACACTCTGGGGTTTACAAGCACATTCACTCCTGGATTCTACCCAGGAGTGGGTAGAATAAAAAATTTTAAAAAGAAACAAAGGCTGTCATTGGGGGAGGTCCATGTCCAGGCAGGCTAAGAAGGAGAGGCTGGCACAAGCTGGTGGCCTTCCATCCCCCTCCACAAAGTCATAACTCATAAAACACATGCTGCCTTGGGCAAGTTGCTCCCCAAATCTTGGGGGTTGTTAGAAACCATAGCACTGTGACTCTGGCATGACGATTCCTGATGACTTTCCAGTCATCTCATTAGGAACCACAGGTGGAGTTAAGGACAGCTTCCCAGATAGCAAGTGTCCCAGGTGCTCCTCGTGAGTTACCGTGTCCTACAGTTTTCATGCTCGTAGTTCCTTTGGGCCCATGCTGGCTTCTTGGCCAGCCATGTCAATGCCAAGATAGGATGGCAGAGTTAAAGGTAGGACTGGGAGAGGGCTAGGTGCTGGAAGCCAGTGTGAAGAAAATGCCCAAACTAAGTCCCCGAAGAAAATCTGAGTCACAGAATTGGCCAGTGAGTCACTTCAGGAGAAGAGACGAGACTGATGCAGAGGCAGAGTCAGAAACTGTGGTCGAACCCAAGGTCAAAGCCAAAGAGTTAATAGAGAAGCAAAACACAAAGGTCAAAGAACAAGAAGAGTCCGTCCAGATAAATTCTCATGGATGGCAGAACAGCCTCTCTCAGAAGCCCCGGTGCCTTGCCCCTTGGGCCCGACTCCTAATTCTGAAGCAGGGTTGCAAACCTGTTCAGAAATAGAACAGCAGTTAACAATACTGAGGCAGGAGCAGCTGCTGTGCTGACATTGACTGCTTCCCCCATGACAGCACAAGTCCAGGGGCACAGGTGTGGTCCTGAAGTGTCAGTGCCCAGGTGTGGGGGAACAGCTGCTGGGGAGCAAGGGGTTCTCTGGGCTCTGTGCCCCCCGCTTCTATTCCTTGGCCTTACTCCTACCCTTGGCTTTAGCTCTTGAATTATATTTTATTTTCGTCACTTAGATATTGGTTTAACTTTTCTTTTGGGATTTAAAAAAATTTTTTATTTAGTTATTTTTCAAGTACAGTTTTTTGTCTATTTTTCTCATCTCAGCCTCCCCGGCCCTTTGCTCACCACCTCCCTCCCATTTCCACCCCCCTTAGTTCTCATCTCTGTGTCCTTCCTATTTGTTCCTCCAAATCGCTCTCCCTTTTTCCCCTTAACTTCCCTTCCTTCTCCACTCTGGTTACTATCCCCTTGTTCTCTATTTCAGTGTCTTTGTTGTTTTTTTTTTCTGCTTGCTTGTTTGTTTTGTTGTTTAGCCTCCTGTTAAAGGTGAGATCATATGGTATTTGTCTTTCAGCACCTGGCCTAATTGTGTTTTAAAAATTGCAAAAGTATTGCAGGCAACACTCTGTGGCAGATGGTCAAAACTATCTGACACAGTCTGAGCTTGAGAAATAAAGTCGGATCTTTTCTGATGCTCTTGTCTCTGTGAGACAAGCTGTTGTATAGACTTAGGTGGTGTTGAAAAAATTACCGAAGTCATGCATGATCATTGTGAAATATTCACATATTATAAAAGTATATTAAGTAAAAAGTGAAGTCTCTTTTTTATACTATACTCCTATTCCTCAGTGGACATCAATGTTAAAAAAATGATAGAATTTTTCCATATATAAAAACATATATATATATAATTTATATATATTTTAGATATATGTATATATACCTAGAAAAATAGATATATTATTTTTTAAACACATGGTCACACTGCTTATACTAAACTGCAGTTTGCTTTTCTTTACTCAATCACACATTATAGACACTCATTCTATTCTAATATACACTTGACCCTTGAACAACACAGGTTTGAATTGGGCAAGTCCAAGATTTTTTTAAACACATACTATAAATGTATTTTCTCTGTCCTATCATTTTCTTGACTCTTTATGGTAAGAATACAGTATATAACACATACAACATATGAAGCTTATGTTAATTGCCTGTGTTTATTATCAATAAGGCTTCTGGTCAGTAGTAGGCTGTTAGTAATTAAGCTTTGGAGAATCAAAAGTTATGTGTGGATTTTTAATTGCATGTTCGGTTGGTGTCCCTAACTCCCACATTGTTCAAGGGTCAACTCTATATGCGTCTACTTAATTTATATTAATGGCTGCACAGTAGTTATAGTAAGAATATGCAAAGTGCATTAATCACCCACCTTTCAGTTTTCTATTACCAATAATGTTGCCTTCAATATTCCAATACAGGTATTCTTGTCAACCTCTAATGCTCCTCCAGGATAATTCTTGAAGGGAACTGCTAAGTCAACAGGCGTGTACACTGAAAATTTCAGTAGGTACCGCCCAATTGCCCTTTGTCCCAGCTCACAATTTTACTCACAGTGTTTGTGAGCCACGTTCCCCTACCCGCATCCTCACTGGGTATTGTTTTATTTCACAAACCAGAGTCTGACTGGGGGTAACTCCAGGCTTTGGTAGTTATGGGTTCTCTGAGCCTGGCACGAATCTTTTGGTTGTGATCACCCCTCTGGCTGGCTACAGACTCCTGGTAAAGACTTCTTGGGTTCTTCTTCTTCCTACTTCCAAGTCTTGCATTGACTGGGGCTTACAAAATTTTGATATGAACAATTCCATTGTACAATTTACCTAGCGTCTTGCCCTCCTTATTTCCTTTAATCCTCACAAAATTTCTACTGGGTATGTAGGGAGGGAACTTATATTTGAGGGGCTCAGAGCAGTTAATGACTTTATTAAGTTCACAGGTTGATTAAGGGAAGCCCCAGGACTTGAATGCAAGTCTCCTATGTTCCAGCCCCGTATTCTGGTCCCCATCCTGCCTCAGCCTCTCTAGAGCACAGAGCTGTGTCCTTAATTAATTCATTTCTACCCTTTTGGAATGTTCTTCTAGAGAAGTTTATGCTTGCTGGTTGGTTGGATTTGGGGCTGCTGTTATTTGTGACTTAGGGGTATCAATGGTGCCCATAAAAATGTTCTTGCAATTTGAATATCCTGGTATGTGGCCCAAGGTGACCCAGGGCAACATCTCCAGGAGAAGATGACTGGCAGGGTGCCGAGAGGCCTCAGGGTGACCTTATCTAGTAAGTGATAGTGTTGGAATTGGAACCAGATCCGCCTGACGCCAGAGCTGAAGCCTTTTTACATTTACTCTGTGCACCACCTCATACAGAGCAAGATGCTCAGGGCAGAAGATCAATGCATTCTTTCTCTGGAGGCAAATTACATGGGAGCCAGATTCACAGAAGGTTGAGTGCGGAGCGTGGAATCAGACAGAACGAGGAGAATTCAGGGTCTTAAGAAGCTAATTTCAGCTCAAGTAGCCAAAGGCAAGTTTACCCACTAGGGGGGTCACACACTCAAACACCAACAGAGGCTTGAAACAGCTTCACCCAGATGAGTAAAGCAAGGCAGGGAGCAGTGGTGATAGGGGAGAGTGGGGACTGGGGCAAACCAGACAGCGAGCCTTTCCAAAGGGAGCAGCTGCTGTTATATAGCTCCAGCCCATTCTTGGCAGCCTGCTGAACTCAGGTCTTCCCGGTTTTTTCAATCAAAGCTAGACACCTGTATTTTTCTAAATGAAAAGTCTTGACAACTTTTTAAAATACTGTGAGTCAATATAGTGTGGGCCAAGCAAAACATGCCTGTGGGCTGGCCATGACCAATTGGGTGCCAGCACTGACCTTCACCGTAGGAAACCTTTTCCCGTGAAAACCGCAAATGCTCAAAGCCATTCATCTAAAAGGTTAAGATCAGTGCTCTTCAGATTGTCCCTTTAATCCTTCTCAGCCTATTTACAGTCACTCTCCGGATAGAATTGAACATATTTCCTCTTATGAAATCACACTTACATTTCAGTCACGTCTCCTTGGAAGAGTTCCTGGCTCAACTTTGATTGGGTTGACACTTACGTAGTCAGTGCTTTGCGTTGTGATTACTACCATTCTTATTTTTGGAGTTACCGTCATTTTTAGCCTCCATGGCAACCCCTGCCAGTGAGTGTGAATTTTACTAATTCAACTCAGAGGACAACCCAATTTTCAAGTCCTCTGGGGTGGGGGCGGGGGAGCCTTCAGTGCTGCCATATCGAAGGGACAGAAAACATTTTTTTCACTTTTTTTAGATATTAAAATTTGTTTTTCAGTACATAAATATAACCTCATTGACTCACAGATTTGTTTCTAGTGAGTAATTATTCCCCTAAAAATATCTGGGTGAGTTATAGCTTATAGGAGAAGAGGGAAGAAATAAGGATGCTCTTCTAGATATGGAAACAAACAAGAGGACTCGGAATGGGTTTTAATTCAGAATGAAGACTGAGCCTTCCTTGCACATCTCAGTAATGCTGGAATCAATCCTCCTCCCCTCCTCATGGTGCACAGCAGCCTCAGGACCCACTAAAACATCCCTGGAAAAGGGAGAGGAGAGAAAGCTTCCAGAAATGGCAGGCAACCCCACCCTTTAGGCACCTTGTGTCAATCAGAACACAGCACCAATGCATTAAGCACGTTTCCAGAAGAAATAAACTTGTGGATTTAGTAGCTTCAGGGCATGGGGACTCCATCAGCAACTTCAAATATTCATGTTCATAATCAACAGTTAACAAATGTTAATTTTTCATAAAAGAACTATTGACAAGACACTGATTCAACATTTACTAATCAGACTTCCCTGCTAGACATTACCTTGCCTTTAGTGTTGAGACATGACATGTAGAGACACATTACAAAATAAAGGACATTTATTTAGCCGGGATCTAAATAGGCAGGAATGTAAAATAACCAGATCTCATCCACCCCCACAGTCCTGCACTACGATAAAGACGCCAATCCCTAAAAGCCTGACAGCATGCTGAGTTTCTGAATATCTCTCAATCATCACAAACACTCACTCCTGCTCTTGTGAAATGTGCATCCATTGTTTTTATGGTAAGCCAATTTTTTGAAAGTTGGTCATCTGAAATACAGGGCAGCCTAGATTCCCTGTATTTATTTACTTCTTGACACTCCCACTGTAGTACACAATAGCATCACGGGATTCTACTCCTTAATCCTGGGTGGTGAAGACCATAGTTTAACAGACATGGGCTTGAATCCTGTCCACTGAAACCTATAGTCTTGAGCAAGTTCATTAACTCTCTGAGGTCAATTTCCTCCACTTTGATCTAGAATAACAATACCTACATCATGTGGGTACTTGTGATGGGTATTCAATGAGATCGTGTATAATAAAGATAGTAACTCTTTAATACATGGCGACTGCTAATGTCTTCTTTAACCCAGTCACCTATTTAAAGGATGATTAAAAGCAATGAGACAGATAAAATGCGTGCTGCTCTGAAGGGAACTGCAACTACCCGTGAAATATCGAGAGACCACTCTAAAGCCACAAAGGGCTAAGTGACCAGCTTTAGTGTCTCTAAACGACATCAGTTTAGAGATTGAGAGACTTGCGGCCACAAATGCAGAGCATTCTTACTCCTGCATTCTCGGAGCAGAGCCAGCAGAGTGGGAGCCCAAGCCTCAGGCCTGTCCCCCCAACCTGCACACTGCAGGGGGGGGCACCACAGCCAGGCGGGGGGTGGTGCACACCGTCATGTCTCAACCCTCTGAAACTTGGGCTGGGAATACTTGCTGCCACTGTCACACATGGTGAGGACAGCAACATTCTCCTGCAGAAGACAAAACCCTTTGTGTCCCGCCTCCCTCTGCCGCTGCCAGCCAGCAGGAAGTGGGGAGAGGGCCTGACGCCCCTCTTCTCTTGGCCCAATTTCACACATTGGTCTTGCAGCATTAATAAATTGGTTACATTTGCCCTGCATTTGGCAGGCGAGGTTTCTAATAACACTCTGATCCCTTCAGAGGACATGAATCACTGGCATGTGGGGGGCTCTGGTTACCTCCCCCGCCCACTCTCTGCGGCTAAAGGCCCCACACATTAGCAGGGGTCAGGCGCTCTCCTGGGCCAGGGCAGAGTCTAGGACAAGGGCCATGGCTTCGAGGCACTGTCACGCAGCTCAAAGGTTTTCCCTCCGAGGGAGAACAGATAACTCCCGGCCCAGGCACTGCACAGCTTTCCTCGGCTGTCAATCCTACCTGGTTTGCATAGAGATTGAGAAAATGTGTGAGATTTGACCACAAGAATCAGTCCAGAGAATGCAAGGGGGGTGGTGGCGGGCGGAGAGGGGATGGGAGAGAAAAAAATGTGCGAGGCAGATGTCTGAGTGCCGCCCGCGCCGCCCCACATGGCGTCCTACGAGGAGCCGGGTGCTCTGGGGACAGGCAGCCTGACTGAGGACAGTGTGTAATGATCCAGTTTCTCTGAGGCAGTTTTTCTTCTTGCCATGGAATTAGGTGCACAGACTCCGCGGGCAAGAGAAGCTCTGTGGCTGAGAAGAGGCCCAGGCTCAGAGCCAGCCACACTCCAGCCTTGGAGGGCCCAGGAGAGGAAGCGGGACAGAAGCTCACGTGAGCAAGGGCAGGGCC